GCACTAACAAATAGAAACGACAGTTTAAAGATATTTGTAAGATAGGTGTATTGGCTCAGTGCCTCCTTGAGTGTCTCAGTTGATCTATATTTTCTAAATAAAAAGGGAAAAATAACGGACCGATAAATACGATCGGAGTTGATCCGAATTTTGACAGATCGACCTACGGAAGAACATTAAAAAACAACAGGAATAGACAATTACATCTCAGATTATTTTATACATCTAAATTTTTCACTTTTTTATTTGCTAAAATAATGATTCGTTATTGTAATTAAGCAATACTTAAAAATTAATGTAGGAAATGTTTTTTTTTAATTGAATTAAAACCTTACCTCTTAGAGATTTTGGCAATTGAGTAATTGGTTTCCTTCCATACTTATTTTAGTAGTTTCCCATCGATTGACGTTTTCTAATAGCATATAAAGGCATAGAACATTAATGCATGGAAATTATCTGGTGGAAGTTGCTAAGTTATTAGCTAGAACATCTCCTAGAGAGGCGTTCTGGAAAATAGGATTACTCCATTGGCATATTTCCCTTATCATAAGCATCATGTAGATGGTGTCTTGTAATTACCGTGCTAGGCCAACTACTCTAGAGTTTATGTTTCCCTTTTGGCGAAGTTGGTTGCGTTATTGTACGAAAAGGATGAAGGTCTGGGTTCATCAACGCTGAGAACCCAGTCAATTGTATTACCGAATATTATGTTTACAGAGGGAAATTTCTCCTTGAGTACTGCTTGTCTAGTTGGATCCAATCTTATTTTAAATATTTCAATTTGAAATTATGAACAAATTTACATTAAAAAAGATATAATACATAATAGCTTAAATTTGTAATTTGGTAATTTTAGTAATTACGTTTATATTTAAACTGAATAGGTCCTTATAGGCTTGCAGAGCAAGGCTGATTACCCAGTAAGCTGATGAACTATTGTCAGAAGTTAGATAATTATTAACAATCATTTGTTCTTATTCAGATTTAACCCTACATAAATAACATTCCTACCAACTTAAGAATATATGAAATCAGGAAATCAAGGATAGAGAATTACACAACTTATTATTTCAAGTGATCAGCCAATGATAAATCCAACAATTTTATTCTGTATAAAAAGCTAAACTTTTACATAATATTCAGTTTGAAGAATTCATATTTTAACACTCACGAAAAAAACACCTGTTGTCAGTGTTGGCTACGAAATTATACATTCCCTTTGCTTTTCCTTCTGAAGTTTCCACCCTTGGCAGGCTGTTTCACGCCCTTTTAGCTGTCTGGGAATTCTCGGCACATAAGCCATTAATGATTTTATGTTTTCTTTTCCCATGGCGCCTATAAATAATTTTACATATTACCGGTGAAGTATAACGACGGGGATTTGCAGTAAATTAGCGCTCGCGGCATTATGAAATTATGCTAAAGTAAATTACGGTGGTTTGATTAAGGACATTTTATATTTTCTCAGCACCTCACAAGTTCAACTTGTCGTGCTTGGCTGTTTTTTTAATTTAAGATTAGAATTATATTTTCTCAAATCCATTATTTATAGTGGTGTCTATTGGTGGTCTATTGACCAAATTGCTTTTTTCAATTAATTAAACTTTTTATGTAAGGTTTTTGGTTGATATGAAGAAGTTAGTGCCACGAGCGGGATTCGAACCCACGAGCTTTGGCTAAATATGCCGTTCACGATCACGTCTTTCATAGAATTCCAACCAACAATAAAATTTATCGTTGTTATAACATATTTGAAAAAGTATTCCACTTGTTTGAAATGGTCAGATATACGTGTAAAGAAATTCTTTATTATCTTTTCGACTTTGAACAGCTGTCCATGTCGAAACAAGGATTTTGGAGACGACGTACTAATTGGAAAAATGTATTACATATATGATTATTACTATTAATGAGGAAATAAGGTTTTTATTTAAAAAAAACTCAAGCGCTATGTTTGTGATGTTATAGCTTCAGTTGCCTTTTGGTATTTCAGAACAGATCCATTTTTATGTAAAACCTTTAAAGAGGTTCAAAGGAGGTGGCATTTACTTAAATTGCCTGCATAAAAGAAAAGTAAAAGAGGTGTTTATTTCGATCAATTGATGAGGTAGGTGCAGAAGTGTAAAAGAAAAACAAATTGGTTGACATTTAATAATATGCCCTTTGTTACTGAGTAAATAAAAAGCCGATCTTTCCGTTATTTGCTACGGAAGTCGAAGAACATTCGTCTTGAAAAAAAGGGAGTGGCAGGAAAGGATGGGGAGTTTGTGCTTGTTATCACCGTTGAAGCCGTGTGTGCCCGATTGAAATGTGGGCTTAAAAAACGGAGTAAAATCTTCGTCTTTTAATTACGGCTTTCTTATGCAATGTTTATGTATCTTCGTATTTTAAGTATGAATATACATTCCCCCTCCCAGGCAAGAGTTTAAACTGCGTCCATGTAACCCTCCCGTATCTGGTGGCCATCCTTACTCTCTATCCCCTTGCTAACCTCATATCCTACCTTTCTTCCCACAACAACTTTTACCCCCCACTAACCTTTTCCCTTTCCTATCACCAGTGTCCCTGGGTTTAGAGAGGGGGAGGTGTGCCGGTTCTCCTTTAGTGGCAGCCCCACTAATCGGCTAGTGTCGGAAGGGTAATTGCTTGGGTATCTTGGAATGTTACGCTCCTAAAATTGAACCTCCCTAGATCCGGAAAGCCCGTGACGTCGGGGCACAGGCCACCCTCGGTATTATTCCCACGAGTCCCCTTGGTGTTGGTGGAGAGAGCAGCGCCACCCATGTAAGGAAAATGCTAGCTACAGGAAAGGAAAAACAGAAATAGTAATCACACTGCAGCCATTTTGCCGGAGTCCAAAAAATAAAAAAATAAAAAAGGGAAGAGCAAATGCATGTTCAGAAAGAATAGTAATTTCAGGAGATACTAGATTTTGGAAAGGAAGGATAGGAATGAAAGACGATTCCCCAATCCAGATATGCCGTGTTTTAAATAAACAAATGGGAAATGTACAGAATCAGATATCAGCGGAAATATTGAAAACAGACGTCACTGACTCTCTGCAAGCCAAAATGGTGGTGGAAACGAAACACTTCGGCACAGCTCCCGTTAAAACGACTCCTCATGGAAAACTGAACTCCTCCCAGGGAGTAATTTGTCGGAAGAAAAGTGCAGGCAGCAATCAACATATGGCTGCCAATGCCGAAAAGATAGGTTTTCTTTTCCGCGAGAAATTCGAAAGTTGTAGACTGAGGAGGGAACATGACCTCCCTCTGTTGCGGTTGGGGAAGGAAGCTCTCGTGTTCACGGACCGCTCAAAGTTCCTCGGCATTACTTTCGATGAAAAGCTAAGATGCAACCACACTTTACAAATGTCAAAGTTCTGTCCAAGCGGGTCATCAACCTCGTGAGATTTCTGTCGAACTTCAGGTGGGGAGCAGAAAGGGAGGTATTGATAACCCTTGTTAAAACGCTGCCTACGTAAATTATTCTACAGTTGTAAGGCCAACGTTTCGGCAAGAAAAACGCGCAGCCCTAATAATAGTAATCCCTAACCTGAACGTGTACACCGCGGAACAAAACGTCACATCCCTTGAGCTGAGCACGATCAAAAATAAAAACCACAACTCTGTTTTGTAATGTACCGAATCGCCCAGTGCGGTCCACAAGCTCAGTAGAAGAGCATCCGTGGACTATGGATAAATAAGATAAAATAACAGTTAAAAGGGATGGATGCAGTTGGGAAGAGGGTAGTGTATATTAATATAAAATTTAATTGTGTTATAATTCCGCTTTTCGAGTGATAATGGAGCGGCATTAAAAACCAGCTTCTCACTGGAACGTCGCGATGGCCTGTGGACCGGGGATTCAGTCTGGTGATCCATGTCGCGAGACGTGGTTGTATACTTCTCCAACCTGATGATGAGCTATAAGCTCGACATCCGGATCATTGAAAACAGTGAGAAAACTCTGAGTAGGAACTATCTTTTTAAGAAGATTGAACAACTGTTCCCCTTTTTCATTTCTATTAAGGAGGTCGTGTTGGCATGGCTTCCTGGCCGGAAACAAAGAAAGGGAGAGGGCGGCCAAAGAAGCCGCCGGAAGGCTCCAGGATGCTTCCCAACCTTACGCCCAGCGGATCATTTTTTCGTCTATCTTTGGTCCTCCGAGAAAAGGGAAAAGGCCATATTGACAGGACTACGCATAGGTCACACAACAATGACGCACGGGCACCTTCTGGCCGGAAAGCGACCGCTTAGGTACCCGTTATGCAAGGATAGAATAACGGCCGAGCACCTTTTCAATTGTAGACAATATTTTGGCATGTTATAGATTTTTAGATGTATATCGTGTTTTTTATATTAATTTATTGGAATGAATATAATTTATTATTTATTAACCCCGTCCCGAAAAATATCGAGTACGCTGGGCTGAGTGTGTGGCGTCTGGAGAGTAAAAGTAAATTATTAGTGAGAGTGGAGTGACCATGAAACCATCCCTAACCACTTAATAATCATTAATTTTTCTGAATTTTTTGTTATAAATTGTTCATGCTGAAGATTAGAAGTGGCCCTAAACCGATGGAAAAATAAAATTCCAAATAAAATACCCACATGGAGATGTTCTTAACCAAACCAATACATAATTTTATATAATTTTTAATTTTAATTAGATTTCGTAATGTCTTTTATATAAGAGCTTTTTTAATTAATATTTAAAAAATATATCCAATAGAAGAATCATTTAATTTTATATTTTCTTAACTACAATTTTTAATTTTAGTTGTAATTAATTTTCATTTGTTTATTAAGAGCCAGATTATATTATATTAAAAAAATCTTAAAGTAAAATATGTTTTTCCATTTAATTTTAATTCTAATTAATTTATCTATGGTCTTCTAAGAACCGAAATATTTTATATTTAAATTGTATTCTTTATGATTTAAAAAAGGTTTGATTTGCTATTAAAAAAGGTAATCTTGAAATTAAAAAGGGCTCATTTAAAGTAAAAAGAAAATTAAAATGTTTGATTTCAATGTAAAAAGTAATTTGAAATTAAAACTGGTTATGTGATGCGAAAAAGAGTAGTTCAAATAAAAAAATGGCTAATTTTAAATGATAAAAGATAATTTAACGGGAAAACGGGTTACCTTGATAGAAAAAGCTACATTTGAAAAATACATAATTATGAAATTAACAAAAAGAAACAATAAAGGCCTAAACGAAATATCGCAAAAATGTGTACAATCTGCACGTCATAACCAGACGTAATATGGGAAAAATAACAATGCCCATATCATTGCAGTAACATATTGCAATACAAATTTTAACACAACACTTTTTAACATACTAAATAATATTTACACAGTATTTTTATTTCTGTTCATATCTTCAAAAATAATCAGGGTGGAAGACCGGCAGAACGTTGCCGTGCGGGTGAAATCCATATTCGTCAGCGGTGTATCTTAAATGAACAGGAACTCCCTCAGGTGAAGTGAACTTGTACGAACCTTGCTTAACGAGAACATTGTCGGTCCCGTCCGGTGTAGGTTTCAGAACTCCTTGTTCGCTGATTACCGTCCCGTCACCTGCCTCGTACCTGAGGGAAATCAATTAAATAGAATTACATGCTAAAGGAATAACAAAAAAAATTAGTTGTCACGAAGTTCAATTTCAATGTACAATATTAAATGTCTTGATTATATAGCAACAGTTTGCAAACTTGGAAGCATTTAAGAAAATTTAATCACAGTTTAATATACATTATATAAAAGTTTGTAGCCATAAATAAACAATTTATATATATATGTACACCTTTATGTATATATTATATCTGAACACATAGACCATTAAATTTTAATTTTATTATAAAATAATCTAAATAAAGGCTGAAGTGGCTGAATAGAGTAGGCCCCAGCTTCTTGGTTCCAGAATGAACTATGCAGTTTTGAGTTGGATTCCTAGACTTTAGATCTTTAGTCTCGAAAAAGCGATAACACTAAAAAATGGCATTCATCATACCATGCGAATCAGAAAACAAATACATTGGACAGACAGGACGAAAAATTAAAGACGGATACAAGAAACAATGAGGAACATTCAAGTCCAATGACGGGAAATCAAACGGCTCGACTCACCTCGCAGAAAACGATCGTGGTCATCACCAATACAGACAGTATAAAATTTCTACAAGACGTACAAAAGGACTAATACTTAATATAGCCGAAAATTTAGAAATGCAGAAACAAAACACCATTCAAAAAGGCATTAATACTCAAATTAGGAACGTTTGCATTCATCTTTTCCATTCAAAACCCAATGCCGTTAAAAATGAAAGGACTGACGGGGTCAATAAAACTACCAAGACTAAATCCAACAAACAGACAGAAAATAAAAAATCGCCTCGCGACTTATAAAAGGGACTTGACTTTACAGAAATCACTCAAACGAGTCTGATAGATCAAAACGGCGAGGATAGGCAGACCAGGAATATCGTAAACAACCAATAACGAACAATATATTGTTTGTAGCCAAGTTTTTTGAAAATTACACATTAGGAATGAACAAACTTTTTTTATACTTTAAAATTTACTGTTTGATCTCGACGAAAAGAATTTGTGTAAAAAAATATTTATTAAAAAAATGAGGCATCCGAGTGATGTAAAGATGGTCTCACGTATACAAATTTTATAGTTTTATGGTTTGTTCGTTCCAGTTATTGTTTGACCACTGTTTTTTATGACAGAATGACAAGAACCAACCAGACAAAACCGCGTATAATGATGAGAATCAGATCAAAACAGACTTGTATTGAGATCCCAAAAGGAAATATCACAACATTTTCGTAAATTGATGTTACTAGTCGTGGTTGCGGTTTTTAGATAGCGTAAGTTTCCATTTATTTGATAGTTTTATATGGACAGATATATAAAATATTAATATTGTGAAAATTGTTCTTACGCTTTTTTAACTTTTTTAACTTTAAATAAAATATTATTTACATATAATTATAACGTCAAAACCACATGGTTGGAACTTGAAAGAATACAAAAATAATATATTAATAAATAATATATCACCTTGTGTGACCACATTTTATTTTTTAACAGTTTAATAACCTCCAAACCGGCATTATGCTTGTACATAAAAATACGTAATGAGATTTAACAACAAAAAATCTGTTGGGGGTCCAAATAGGTTAAATAAGCAATCAAAAACTACGCATTTTATGCTTTGTATTTATATTACTACAAAGTTGCCTGTTAGGACTAAAAAATTACTTACGTAAGAAAATATTGTCCGTATTCGTCCCTGCTCTGCGTTATGTAGATAGGCGGAGCAGTATCGTTCTCATGGCCCATTAAAGAATTGATCAATGCAAAAATTAGCAAAAGAGACTTCATCGTGAAGACAAAACGGTGATATTCCTGGGAAAATAAATTCGTGCCTTATATACCTCGGAGAGGTAACGACATTGGAAAATATTTTGATGTTGTTTTCCAAAAGTCTAGGTCATAGCTGATATTTTAGTATATCGAAGTTCGAATTGTTTAGAAAACTAAATAAAAATAATAATTTAGAAAAATTGTAAATATGTATACGAGTAGAAGCTATTGTGCTTAACTGTTTAATTAATTTTTCGCTTTAAATAACACAATTATCTTTCTTATAACTCTAAGAATATGCCATCATTTCTGTTTGTCCTATAATTTTAAATATATATATATATATATATATGCTGAGGTCATCGCCGGCCCTCTGCGTGTTTTCCTTCTTTTTCTCTTTTTCGCGCGTATTTGTTTTAAAATGCAGCCATTTGAGCGTCTCGATCTGGTTTCTAATTCTCTGCTTAAGATGTATACCACGTCGATATCCTAAAATAACAAAAACGGGTTGTTGAACCCACTCCATTCTCGCTAATAACTTACTTTTACTCTCCAGACGTCACACACTCACCCCAGAGTACTCGATATTCCTCGGGGCGGGGTTGAACCCACTCCATTCGCGCTAATAACTTACTTTTACTCTCCAGACGTCACACACTCACCCCAGAGTACTCGATATTCCTCGTGGCGGGGTTAGCTTTATCCTATAAATAAACATCGACATGTTCTTCTATATTTTGAGAACAATTTTGAGCAAATATTTATGACACAATGACTCGAAAGCACAAATTAATATGAAACGATAGCGTTATATTCAATCAGAATAGCACACTAAATTAATGTTAAATAGCACATCCAATATTTTATGTTACATACCTTATGTCTCAGGTTGTAGCCATGCATTAGTTGTATTTTCTATTTATGCACTAATCTTGGAATTACAATGACATGTTTAAAACCGAAGGTTGAAAAATACAGTTGGCGTGGTTGTTTGTACTGTCCCTGGCTAAGGCTTTTAAACAAGAAAAATATTCTTATTTTGAAATAGTTGTAAATAATAGTTTTACATTTGTGAAATAGAGTGTTTAAATAATTGTGAAAATCAATTACGAAAAAGAAAAGAAATAGTATTCATTTCTATGAAAGTGAGAAAATGATTCTTCACTATGAAAGAAAATAAATAGATAGATAAATACATAAATAGATAGGTAGATAAATAGATAGATAGATAAAAGGGAGAAGAGAGAGAGGAGAGAGAGGGAGAGAGAGAAAGTAGTGAGAGAGACAGAGCTAGAGAGAGAGAGAGAGAGAGAGAGAGAGAGAGAGAGAGAGTGAGAGTGAGTGAGAGAGAGGTAAAAAGAGATAAAGAGCGAGGAGAGAACATAGAAAGAAGAAAAATTTATTCCTGAATTTGAAATGATTCTTCACTTTATGGAAGAAAAGAGATAGATAGATTATAGAGATAGAAAGACAGATAGTTAAATATATAGATAGAGATAGATAGACAGATAGTTAGATATATAGATAGGGATAGATAGATAGATAGATAGAGATAGATAGATACATAGAGAGAGAGAGAGATAGAGAGAGAGAGAGAGAGTGAGAGAGAGAGAGAGAGAGAGAGAGAGAGAGAGAGAGATAACGAGAGAGAACGTGAAAGATAGTGGAATAGTGATAAAAAGAGATAAAGAGTGAGTAGAAAGAACATGTATAAAGAAGAAAAATTTAATACTGAGGTTTACCCAAGTGCCAGTATATTATCGATGGTTTCGCGGGTGGCTTCGTGACCACAATCCGGTTACCGGTGAACGTTATCGCTAAATGAACACGTCACCTATACGCTAAGATTTAATCTGATACCATATCTTACCACATTGACTGTATCATATCCTACCTCATCAATTATCCAACAAACAAATGTTCAAATCTGATTATATCGCAAGCACACTGACCATCGATCTGGGAAACGAATATATCTTTTGGGCAAAGGTGTTCGAAGCGATAAAAATGATAATCATGATCATGACATTAAGTTTACAATAACATGTTTTAACATGAAATAAAGAAACCCCGTACTGGATTATGTAGTTTTTGTATTTGTATTTTTCATGACTGCTTGCAATTAGAACATTATTGATCTTACATATTGGTTCCTGTCTTGAATGAAAGGGAAAACCTCTCTGATCTATCCTACTTTATTCGACGACTGCCAATTTCTGTCTCATTTCTCTCTGCTGACATTATCCAGTTGAGAACTTGCGAAGGTAGAAAAAGATAAATGATGTGCAAATCTTTTAGAAAGTGTCTTCTGACTAGACAATAGGGTGTTTTTCCCCCCAAAGCAGTCCGTCTTGAATTTTTAAGCTTTTAATATTGACCTTTACTAATTGTATTGAATACATTTCTAATTTTCTCCACGTGTAGCATATACCAATCGTGATCCATGTCGTGTGTTTGTGTGTGTGTGCGCGCGTGCGTGCGTGCGTGCGTGTATATGTGGTGTGTGAGTGAGTGAATGTTTGTGTCATCTTTTTATATTACAAAATGTAATAAAAAAGAACTTCCAGTGGAATAAAATTTGTCTGGAGGATAAGGAAAAGATGAAAATTTAAACTTTATAATCTATCGTTTTTGGGCGTTTTCTAGCAGTAACAGTAACTAATCTGACTGAATTTATGATAGATGAACACGACATGTAAATTTAGAATAACTAACCATACTGAGAAAGATAATAACTTTGTACTTACAATTTCAAAATTTAATTAAGTATCAATAAAATTATAATAAAGTGGGAGGTTTATGGGCCGACAAACAGCTGAGCTCATCGCCGGCCCTCTTGGTGTTTTCCTTCTTTTTCTCTTCTTTGGCGCATATTTTGTTTTAAACTGCAGCCATTTGAGCGTCTCAATCTGGTTACTGACTTTCTGATTTCAAATATATACTACGTTGATATCATACAATGGTAGTCTCTCGTTTGTACTTGAGGTAGTCAAGTACAGAATAAAAACAAAACATACAATACATATATATATATATATACATCACCACAAACATAGATGTCTGGTCACATTCACTCCTCCAGAGTACTCGATATTCCTCGGGGCGGGATCAATAAAATAAATAAAAAATAAATAAAAAATGTATGCTAATACATGCATAAACAGTTCACTGATTCAGTTTATGGTTGATGAATTGTTGTATAAATATAAACCTTTTGTTATAAAAAATCAAGGATAAACAAATTTGAAATAAAAAGAAAACACCAGTGAGGCTGTTGTCGTGGGGCCACTGATTTCAATGAAACGTTTTTTTAACAACGAAAAATATTAACACGGGGCGGAGAGTTCCGTCCTATTGGCCCCAGGAGCCAAAAAAAGATCAAATAATATGTTCACAAAGCTGCCACCGCCCACGTTCTCACAATCAATTTGAATGAAATTTTAAGGGATGTTAATACGTCGAAAAGTATAAGACACGTGTTTAGGAGTTTGGTGAAATTAGCCCTAAAGTTTTTCAATAAAATCGGTACCATCACGACCGTAGCCTCCCCATATCAGTTCCTTTTTTCTGCTTTCGAGGAATACACCCCTTTGATCAGGACTTTAAAAGTATTATTAATGTTTCACAGTGGTAACAAATACTAAAACTTACGGTTTTAAACGTACTGAATTTCCGAGTTGATAGCGGATTGAGATCTACCGCCCTTCCATGCCGGCACTATATTGGTCAAGAACCGGGTCGGACGTGTAGATCTTGTTCTATGCTTTACTATGCTTGAAATCAAAAGTTTTACAACTGCAATGTTCATATTTGTTTAACCATTGTAAAATATGAATAATTGGAAAGTCCTGATGAAGGGAATGTATTTTTTGAAAGTTTAACCAAGATTTATTTTCTTCCAAAATTAGCTTTATCCATAATTTTTTAATGCAACATTATAATAATCAAGACATATATGCATTACATCAAGATAAAAAATATAATATATCACGACTGAGACGAATAACTTTATTTTATAAAAAATGCACCTTACAAAATATAATAATTTTATTAAAGACTTTCTCGTTTGTAAATCTGAACTGAAAAAAAGTAAGTAAAAATAAAAAGGCAGTAAATAAAAAATAAAAGGTGGAAAAATAAAGTAGCTATAAACAATAAAGTAAAACCTCTATAAGTGATTATAACTTCAATTATGGAAACTAAAAAAATGTGGACTTGAAGTTTACGTTATAAAAATAAATAAATTTTGATAAAATGTAAAAAGATGAATACACAAAAGAAAGCTTTATCCCTTGTAAAAAATTCATTTAGGCTTTCTATAATGCATAATCTTTTTAACAAAATTCTGGTGAGTTTTATTTTGAGTTTTTTAATACTAATTTTATCATATTTTTCTCTTTTAGGGGGGGTGTATTTATAATAAATACCTCAAGTACAATTTCTCAGTTGTACTGTGTATACACATTCTTATCCTTCGTCATATGAAAAACAGGAAAAATAAATAATAAATTAACAAAAACATAATAACTTTTTTCTTATTACGTAAAACGTATTATATAGGTATCAGGTAATTTCAAAACAAAAACCATAGGGTTCAAAATTGTAAATACGTCAGTTAGTATTTAATTGCAAGTATAATAAATTGTAAATAATATTTCTTTGTCTTAATGAAGTCTGCGAATGTTCAACAAAGAAATGGCTTGTTTTCTTTATAATTGATCTCGTACGTGATCGTATTTTAATGTGCAATTATAATGTTGAAGGCCGAAAGCTATATACGTCGGAGGTGATATTTCAAAAAGATTTTTATTACTATATTACTTTTATTTCTAATTTTAATTTTCACTGTATGATTTTTTCTTTCACACCATCATAATTAATATTTTTAAAATTAAAACTCGTGAATTTCTGAAATCTCCTTTAATTTGGATTACATTAAATTAAGTATGTTGTAATAAATATAACGATATAAATACAAACATTTAGTTTGAAATAACAACTAAATACGAGTGTTTTTTGTCTTTGAGTGTAGTACAGAGACTTTAGTTGAAGAAGTTATTTTTGTTTGTGTGATTTGAGCCGGTAATGACATAGTATTGTAGAACGTTCAGGTTAATCCCGTTTCGTCATCTGAGGATGTCACTTGCACCGGCACACCTTCGAGTGAGGTAAATCTGAAGGATCCTTGTTTGACGAGGACGTTATCAGAGCCGTTCTAGATTCTCTTTAGTCTGTCCCATGAATACTGTTCCATCACCCAACTAGTACCTGTAGAATACATAACGCATTGTGAGGATGTGTCATTCATTGTTTCAACGCAACATACGTCAACATAACTAACACACCCCTCGCAAAGTCCCCATTGTCATAGCAATTTCGTCCTAAATCAAATCTAGTATAGCTTTAGGGTGATTTGTCTCCGATGAAGGGGGGGATCGTACGTTGCGCAAATGTACCTGGGATGGCTGTTACATATTTCATCGCGGGACGGGGAACTCTCTCTGGTAATCAAGGACTAATTTCTAACTTGAGTAAAATTTAATTTTTAATGCAAGGGGGTTATCATTTGTCCGGCATCATTTATGCAGGAGTTTTCTTTTTATTAATGAGCTAATTTAAAATTTTACTCGCTTTAGGGAAAACTGCCCGGGTCGACCCTGCTTACCACTTTAACGGGACGAAAATAAACTCGGGGGTTTGATTTCCTTGGACGGAGCAATTACGGTAACGAGGAAACTAGTACAAATTATAAAACTGTTTATTTTGAACGATTTTGATGCAGAAATGACAAACGTACAAAGCTTATATACCGGAAAAACGGGAGAAACAATAGCCCGGGGGGACGAAAGAAACATTTATTTTTAGGACGTTCCAGGCAAGGGGGTTGTTTGTGGAAAACAGGGCTCCTACATTGTCCTGCGTCTCTCTGGAGCTTTGGGCTACCTTTAAAAACGTCTGTTGCCTCATGGCTTAAAACAATAGATTTTTTATTATCTCCAAAACAACACCGTCTCGCTTGTGCATCTAATAATGTACATAGTTAAAATTGGTTTTGATTAAAACAACAAATCGGAACCATAACAAGGCCGATATATATATATATATATATAATAAATGCATAATATTTTCTCAAATAAAATGAAAAGATCTGTGCCTGTATATATATCTGCAGGCACAGATCTTTTCATTTTATTTGATAATATATTATATATAATTGTGCAGTAAAATTATAAACATTCTCTTTCTATCTCTCTCTCTCTCTATATATATATATACATATATTTATGTATATGTTTATAATTATTCTTTATTATCTTAACCAATAACTTACTTAAAGATTAATTAATTGAAAAGAATTTATTTGGTCAGTCGGACTACGAAACCTAATGGATTTAATAAGCAAAATGATGTATCCTTCACTAAAGCTCTCTGTGGCCAATTCATTTGTCGCCGAGAATCGAATCGTGATTACACGACATTTGAAAAATGGCAAAAAGGAGGGAAAATTCGAAAGGTAGGTTGAGATGGGAAGTTGGTGTCCGAGTGGATCGAAGTCACGATAGCTTAAGTGGTAGAGCAGCAGCGTATTTAGCCGTGGGTTCGAACCCTGCTAGTGCACTGACTTTTTTATCACAACCTTACTTTAAGATTAATTAACTGAAAAGTTATTCTATTATTCAGTTATTTATATTAAAATATTTTAGTATGGTTGGCTTGCCTTCTACTATGCTTTGGTCTGTCGGACGCGTTTCGGCGTTTTTATCATCAGTTCTTTTTGTTTAATCTTATCTTGGAGGTCTGCGTACATAATATTTTAATTATATAATTCATTTTATATTTACGTATTATTATTTTAACTTTTTGTCGTAATACAAAATTTATTGAATAGTAAATTTGTTTTAACGTTTTTTTATAGATTTAGAATTAAAATCGTATGTTATGATTTGATGTGAAATTCTTGATGTAGCATTATAATCAAAATGACCGCCAACAAATAAAGATATTACGTTACCGCAGTTAACTTCTGAGACTACTTAAAAAAGATAATAGTCCTCCTTCCGCAAGATGCTTTATCTTTCTTTTTCATTTTTATCTGAATAAAAGCAAAACTTTTTAAATGCTTGATCCTTTTTAATTAGTTCGATGAGGGAAGGAATAAAAACAGTTTAGACAACCTTTCCAAGAAAATTGCAATTAATTCAGAAGCCTTTACTCTAACCGAAGCTTTTGTGGGAGTTGGAACTGACATTGTTTGACAGTATTACTGGGCGATAAATTATTTTCAGACTTTACTTAAATGTCAGTTAAGACCTGTTTATTATCCGCCAGTTTCATTATCATTCCTAAGTTTTATTTTTAAAACAATGATGTAAACTGATTTCTGGCTTTTAAAAATGTGTATTTTCTAAGACAAATAAGTAAAGTTAGCACTTAAAAGGCAGTTTTATTTCAAAAGAGTCGGTTGAAAAAGCTTCGCAAGCTAGTTAATTCTACTAAAGCATTATCGTTTTTCTTGTTTTTTATTTTAGTATTGTATGATGTTGTAAAGTAATTTGTTACATATATAATAATTGAAAAAGGGCAAAAAGGAGGGAAAATTCGAAAGATAGGGTAGAGATGGGAAGTTGGTGTCCGAGTGGATCGAAGTCACGATAGCTCAGGTGGTAAAGCATCGGCGTCTTTAGCCGAAGGTCGTGGGTTCGAATCCTGCTTGTGACGCTGACTTTTTTATCTCAACCTTACATAAAGATTAATTAATTGAAAAATGTTATTTGGTCAATCCGACTACAAAATCTAATGGATTTAATATATAATAATGCCAAATTCAGCAATTATTTTAAACTAATTAGAACCTCGATCTAAAAATGATTGGCACAGCTTCACTCAGAAAAAAGCAACAATTAAATATGTTTCTATTGTTGAAAAAATAAAAATACATAAAACGGAATTTTACCTAAATCAAATTATTACTGTGATATTTGAAACTAAGACAATTAAAAATAACGCTCATTTTATACGAGAAACTTACAGCCGGTTTTTCCATTTTAATTGTGATGTCGAAGCTGAAATTTTAATTGTCTTGTTTTAATTGCGATATTAATCAACTCTTTCAACAGCAACTAGTAATTAAAGCATTATTTGGTTTTCATGACTAGGATTTCGTAATCCGTTATTTACAATTATTTCTACTGTAAACGTGTAACGATTCTGTTGTTATCGTCCAAATTCGGCCGACAACAGTATGGTAACGTTAGAGGGAGTAAATTTAGTTTGGCTCTACGTTTTTTCGGGAGGGTGTTAATACCGAAATCTAAGAGAAAATGAAGGTTCAAGGTATTATTCCTAAACTTCCACCTGTAAGTTTGTTTGAAAGTCGATTTCTGTTAAAACTGTGGACCTGGTATGATATCTAGGACTATATATCAGCAAAGGTTTAACATGGACTCTTCAAGCACAACTGAAACGAAAAGAAGTTATGAAACGTTGCATAGCGCCTCTCTTAAACAATAGGCAGGTATATAACAGCACTGTGAAATCGATATGAATTACAAACTGGAAGTGTGTGGGCCAAACATTCCAATTTGCTCCGCACCCAAAGAGCCCAATCCATAGTTCTCAGGAAAATCCTTAATGCTCAGTTTTATGAGTCCAACGAAACTACACACACACGCCTAAATATTCCTTTTGTCCAAGATGCAATTCACTCCCGTTATCCTCAATTTCATACGAACCTCCTGCGTACATCCTCAAATACAAAAATTCTTATCCAGGCAAATTTCATCCAACTCTCCTCGCAGATTTTTTTGTATTAAGTTTTCGAATCCCTTTCGCAGTTTAATAGTACACGTTGTCATTTAAATGGTACGTATTTTTATAACGTATTGTAAATATTAATGTAAAGTTTATTTTCCTAATTAAGGGGTTATATTACTCGAATGAAGGAGCTGAGTGTTGGTTTCTGCCTAATTGACCTCATCTCTGATCATCTTTTCTACGCTTGTTGATCATCGCTTCTAGGTTGTTGATTCAAACCTAGTTTTTCTCCCTCCTTTCCTTTTCCAATTAATTTCAGTTGAAATAATTGTAATTTAATTTTATTTTTCTCCCCTTTCCTTTCTTTACCTTGATTTTCTTTTGGTCTTTGGTATTAACAACCTCCCGAACTAAATTTGCTCCCTCTAATGTTGGCATACTGTTGTTGGCCGAATTTGGACGGTAACAACAGGCTCGTTAAACATTTACAGAAATACTTGTAAATAACGAATTACAAAATCCTAGACACGCAAAGAAAATATTGCTTTAATTATTTGTCGCTGTTCAAAGAGTTGATTAATATCGCAATCAAAATGAGACAATTCAAATTTCAGCTTCGACATCACAATTAAAATGGGAAATAGGCAATAAGTTTCTCGTATAAAATGAGCGTTTTTTTAATGTCTTAGTTTCACACATCACATTAATAAATTTAATTCTTATTTTGTGTACATCATTGTATAAATTCATAGTAATTTCTTATATGTATTTGTATAATTTAAACAATGTTAATAAATCCCAGGCGCTGAAGATGATTTCAATAAAGATCGAAACGTTAGCACGATAAAGCATGTTTTTCTACATCACACCAGACTGTATCTAATGATCTCTACATAATCCTTTAAATGATTATTTTTCAAAACACCTTAATTAAATTTTTCTTCAGTAAATAACAATAATTTTAAATATATTTTAATGCAATTTACAATAAAAAATATAGGGAAAGTACATACTCCAAAATTGGCAATATCCTTATTCATTTTGCTGCTGTTTATATACAATGTTAAAAATACATACAATCTAACTTGGACAGCAAGTGTGCATTTTGAAAGGGTTTTATTCCGATCTAGCAGGGACTTCACGGTTAAGACACCCTTGACAGGAGTATGGAGATGTAAAGGATGGGGAAATAATCTCGGTCGGATGGGAAGACGTGAATAAAACATGGCCGGGGCGAGAATTGCACCAATACTTATCGGAAGGTTTGATTTATTAGTGGTGGGACTTCGATCTGTTTGACATTATCCCGGAGAATAACTGTTGCCTATTAGAGGGTGAGTGATACAATATGTGTGTCGGGCTGTGACGTGGCCTGAAGGGGCGAGGGGAAGATTACCCTGCACACCCACCACCGTGAAATGAACTTGTGAATCCCCGATGAGCCGGCACATTTATTACAACAAATTGGGTTCGGCCCTTAGACACTCCACATCTCATATTAATAACTATTTTGTATTAATGATCCTGGACTCGGTCATGGCACGGCCAATATTCTAAATGAGCTTTTTACGACTCATAACTTCGGTGCGACAACGGTGTCGGAAGTAGATTTGAAGTACCTTAGACCCTTGGGTTGTATTCCATAAATCCTAACCAACAAGCGAGTTGTTTTCAACTCATGATGAGGCTATTTATAATTAAATAGCTTCTCACACTGACGCGTCAGTACGTACCTACAATCATTGTTTCATTTAATTACACCGTCTGGCTTTGTGGTGCACCATAAATCTCTTCTTTATTAGAATATTAATTACTATAATCGCAGAATAATAATAGACAGATACAGCTTCCATTTACAATTATTTATAGTAACCCATATTAACAAATATATTATTTTGAAAAACCCTATTTAGCCGATAGACGCTACATTTTAAATGGCTACAACATTGGAGGCCGTTTATTCGTTTTTGATGTAATAGAGCAAAAAAAATAAATAATTACAATTAATTAATGTTGAGATAAAAAAGTCAATGGCACGAGCGGGATTAGAACCCACTATCTTCGGCTAGATACGCCGCTGCTCTACCACTTGAGCTATCGTGACCTCGATCCACTTCGACACTAACTTCCCATCTCAACCCCACCTTTTGAATTTTCCCTCCTTTTTGCCATTTTTCAAAAGTCGTACAATCGGATTGGATTCTCGACGACAAATGAAATGGCCACGGAGAGCTTTAGCGAAGTATACATCATTTTAAATCATTAAATACACTAATTTCGTGGTCCGTTTGACCAATTAATGTATTACAATTAATTACGGTTTTTAGTTGAGATAAAAAAGTCAATGGCACGAGCGGGATTCGAACCCACGATCTTCGGCTAGATACGCCGCTGGTCTACCATTTGAGCTATCGTGACCTCGATTGAAAAATGGCAAGAAGGAGGGAAAATTCAAAAGGTGGGGTTGAGATGGGAAGTTAGTGTCCGAGTGGATCGAGGTCACGATAGCTCAAGTTGTAGAGCAGCGGCGTATCTAGCCGAAGATCGTGGGTTCGAATTCGGCTCGGTTGACTTTTTTATCTGAACTATTTTTTTTTTCTGTTTTGTTGTTTCTTGTGTGTTCATCAAATTGGGGGTTATCGGGAAAAAAGGGCCAGAGGCGACGGTGGGAATCGAACCCACGACCGCGGCGTGAGAGTCTCTCATGCTAACCACTCGGCTACCGCGGTCCCCATTACCTGAACTAAAAACCTTAATTAATTGTAATATATAAATTGGTCAAGCGGACCACGAAATTAGTGAATTTAAAAATAAATAATGTTTCATATACGTACAAAAGTCACCGTATAAGTGTACACCCTGGTTTTCTCAAAAACTACTGCCTCGTATAAGCTCTACTTTGAAACATTGCAATATTTCAGTTTTATTCAATATCTGAGAAATGTTAAAAATGTCACCCAACCCGGAAACAAAATTTAAACGTTATTTCCTTTCATATTACAATAATTACGTTAATTAAAACTTACAATAGTCACGTTTTTTCAATTGTTTTAAAAAATTGACAAGTTATATACGGATTCATCAAATTAATTAACTGTTACCAAAAGGTTATTCGGAGATCGTGGGATTCGGTCTGGTGTGACGTAGGTTTTAGAAAAACATTTTCTTTACCGTGTCAACGTTTCGATCTTTATTGAGATCATCTTCAGGGCTCAAAGTGTTTGTTTTCCGTGTAGATGTGTCATTCTTGTCTGTCGTCTTGACACTAGATTTAGAGAAACCTTAAATATGAAACTGCATAAAAATGCTTAGCTCTTTTATTTAGTTGAAGATGAAATTTAAAATTACCATTTTATACCTACCATTAAATTAACATTTCCAGACGATATCTACCACTATCACATGAACCCCTATATATCTAACGATTTTATGGACCGATTTTCAAATGGCGTTCATAATTTTTATAAAAATTAATGAACATGAATTCGCAAGCTAAAATATAAGTTATCATTTGACAAATAAAAGTTTTATTAATAACATTTTGAAGACATTAAATACAACTGTAATCAATGTCATGTGTGAAGCTTATGGTATAAAAACACTTACAATTTTTGTATAGGTTTAGTAGTTTTTGAAAAAATGAAGGGGAGCACTTGTAAATTGACAGTCATACATATGTAAATCATCCAAAAAAGTTTAAGACGGTTGTATGTTCATTAATTTTGTCTTTATGTTAAATTATTTTTGTATAGATACAAGCCAAGAAAAAACATATCGCAATGTTATGTAAGATTTTGCAATTACAATTTAATTCGATCTCAGTCGATTTTAGATTACTTGTACGAATAAAAAGGACAGAAGGGAAAGTTTCTTTTGTGTGACTAATTTCACGTAAATTATTACCAAAAGTTAGTGCAGCAAAATCTGAATAATCCGACCCTTTGCCAGTCCGACACATCTTGTAA